CACACTTTGTGTCCTATATAACAGTATTATCTACCTGTAATAGATTCATACAAACTTTCATTAGTATAGAGAACGGTAGATATAGCTATCACAAAAGCTTGTGCAGCTTCAATCCCTGAAAAGTGCTAGCAATAATTATCTACCTGGAACATCATGCAACTCTCTCATCATGGAAGGTTCTCTTTGATGTATACGATACATGCATTGTTTGTTCTGAGCTGATCTATCACTCTGTGATGAGAGAAATGCTGGTGACACTGCAGGGAAATGGAGAGGTGTGTGTTGGAAAATCACAATATGCGGGCTTCTGTTGTCTTGGTAAACAAAATGTTTAACTCTCAAAGGGCTTCAGTAAGGAGATATGTGTAATTGTAATTGCTGCACTTGCTTGTATGTTGTGGGAAGGTTTCCTGAACTCTGTTCTCACCTTTACAGTGAATTCACACCAGATGCATTGGCGGGATTTGCACATCAGCAGTTTGCTGGTTACTGCACACCAGCTGCTGATGTAGCATGCCAAAACTGATTGCATCCTCAACTGGCCGGTAACTCATTCCCGGCGAGCTCTTCAACGCTTCATCGGATTTGCAAACTTTTACCGGAAGTTTATAAAAAATTTATCAGCCGTGGTAAAACCTCTCTCTAGTCTTACCAGTTCCAAGTTGAGGTTTACCTGGACAACCGAAGCCCAACACGCCTTTGATCTCTTGAAGCGACAGTTCATCTCTGCTCCTATACTACGTTTGCCTAACCCCGCCTTCCAATATGTTCTTGAAATGGATGCTTCTGACTTGGCCATTGGGGCTGTCCTGTCCCAAAGGGAATCCCTTTCTTCTCCTCTACACCCGGTGGCTTTCCACTCCAGAACTCTAAATAACGCTGAGAGGAATTACCCCATAGGGGAAAAAGAATTGTTGGCCATAAAAAGTTCCCTAGAAACTTGGAGACACCTACTCGAAGGTACATGCCACCCCATCATTATCTTCTCCGACCATCGCAATCTACAGTACCTTAAGACGACAAAAAACCCTGTCTGCAAGACAAGTCCGCTGGAGTTTCTTCTTTGACCGCTTCGATTACCTAATAACCTACCGGCCTGGATCAAGAAACGGAAAAGCAGACTCCCTCTCCAGGATCCGAGACGCTTCCAGAGCAGACGCGGTACCCTCTTCCATAATACCTCCTGAAAGGGTATTGGCCGCCACAATTGATCTGAAACTCCAACTTAAAACAGACTTGCAAAACACAACAGAGCACCCCCCAGGTCTCGATAGGGATGATGAGGGGTTCCTCTATAAAGGTTCCAGATTGTACATTCCTCCCACCATGCATGTTCCAATCCTCAAACTCCTGCATGACTCCCCAACAGCGGGTCATCCTGGCATCAACAGGACTCTGGACCTAGTACGGAGACATTTTTGGTGGCCAAGGATGCGGGATATTGTAACTGAATATGTAACGACTTGTGAGGTCTGTGCATCCTGTAAACATGAGAAAAGGCCCCCTTATGGATTGTTGACGAACCTTCCCATACTCAACAACCCTTGGGAGGTTGTTTCATTGGATTTCATCGTCGACCTGCCCCCGTCAGGGGGGCACAATACCATCCTTGTCGTCGTTGATCACCTTACCAAATTGGCACACTTTGTGCCGTTGCCCAGGTTACCAAACTCCCAGGAGACTGCCGACGCATTCCTTAAAACAGTGTTCAAGTTGCATGGAGTACCTTCGAGGATCATAACAGACCGAGGTTCCCAATTCATATCTAGATTCTGGAAGGCTCTCTGCTAGAAGTTACGCATCGATCATGGACTCTCAAGTGCCTATCATCCACAAACAAACGGCCAGACTGAACGTACCAATCAATGCTTGGAGCAGTTCATACGCTGCTACTGCACCTACCTCCAGGACGACTGGTTGGACTTGTTGGCACTTGTAGAGTTTTCCTATAACAACTCTACCAGCTCTTCCATGCAGAGAACCCCTTTTCATGCTAACTATGGATTTCATCCGGTCCCTGACGGGGGGGAGTACTGTAATAGACGTACCAGGTTCCGGTCCACCGTCGGGCTCCAACGCCGTCCTGCGCAGGCGCGCCGTGGTAACCCCTCACCTCCTAGCAGGGACTCAGTAGTGCGCAGGCACTCCCTGGGACTCCGCCCACCTCATTCGAGCAGTCGGCTTAAAGCTGCTGCTCACTGATTGATCGGCGTCCTACTGTTGATTGTAGCAGGACGCTGATCAATCAGTGTCTGCCTTGCTGCCCTTCAGGATCATCAGCCACAAGCAGGTTGTCGGATCCAAGAGTCTCAGGGCTCTACCATTGACCACCAAACAAACTGCAAGTAGAGGCTTATGCCTCCTGGCTACCAAGACACTACTATAGTGCTGTTGTGCTGAACTTCATACACCTGCTAGCTAAACTCCTTGCTATTGCTCACAGCCATTAACTCTGTGTGATATTGCTGTTGTGCTGAACTTCATACACCTGCTAGCTAAACTCCTTGCTGTTGCTCACAGCCATTAACCCTGTGTGCTATTGTTGTTGTGCTGAACTTCATACCCTGCTCTCTAACTACCAGAGGAGTGGCACTTCCATTGTTGCCAAGGGGAGTATGATGTTAAGCAGCCCTCGATCCGCCTAACCGAATACAGGGCAACAGAGTTCAGCTGCACAACTGATCCCCATCCATGAAACTCCGCAGTTGCGATCCATTCCCATAGATAAGAGAAGCGAGGCTTTACAGGCCCTTTAATGCGTGTGGAACAACGTCTGAATTGCACAACATACCAAAGTATCGTTGCTTATCAAGTTCATCCTATCATGTTGATGGCGTATCCCAATGGAGATGGCTTCTTCCAACAAGACAATGCGCCATGCCACGGTGCTCGTATTGTGCAGGAGTGGTTTCAAGAACATGAGGGAGAATTTACCTTGCTTAGGTGGCCCACACAATCACCAGATCTCAATCCAATTGAACATTTGTGGGACGAAGTTGAAAGAGCCATCAGGCAGCTGGTTCCACAACCATCAAATCTCACAGAACTGGACAGTGCTATTCATCAGGCATGATGTCAGATTCCTCGCATCACCTTTCAACATCTCTTGGAGTCAATGCCAAGAAGAATTGCCGCAGTATTGAAGGCAAAAGGTGGCCCAACGAAGTACTGATGGGGTGGTCATAATGTGCAACACAATACATTGGGAAAAAAGTGAAGTCACAAATGTTAAATATGTTTAAGTTTGCTATTTCATGGTTTTTACTTATTTTATTTTTGGTAATGTTATTTACGTATTTGAATTACATACTATCCATGCTCCTCCCCTCTTGGCGTCTGGGGGTGATGTCATGCTGTATAACATCATATACTTTGACAAAGACAAATACTTTGTCCTGCTTTCTCTTTCCATGCTCCCCCACCACGGCTGCATCTCAATGCTCCTCTAATATTTATTAATAAACCTCTGTTCATGGTTCAAGGCAGGCCTGATAATCTCCCTCCATTTTGGCTTTTATGAAAACTATCTCCTGGAATGTTCAGGTCATCCCAGAACATAAAGTACTACGTCATCTCAAATGTCTCGGTGCTGACATAGCTCTTTTACAGGAAACCCATCTAGTATTAATAGACCTTTTAGTGGATTGCAGGACTTTTCAATAGGTGAGTGGGGGCTTTCCTGATAATCAGATGAAAGGGGACACCCTATCTATAGACAATCCCGGAGACTGTCCAGGAGGGGTCTCAGAAATGATTATTTTGCAGTGTGACAGATCAGATAAGATTTAGGGGGCTTGCCACAGTACCTTGAGCCTGAGTCTTGCCGAGGATATACATCTTTATTCTGCCATGTCTTGGCCATGCTAAATGATTGTGTTTTGCCCTACATATTTTAAAGGGTTCTTAAACCCTCCACTTCTTGCATATATCTACTGCTAGAAAGCAGTAGATATATGCAAAAACTGTTAAAAAAATGCTTTGAAAAGGGTTAATACTTACCTGCGTCTTCCCCGTGCGCTCCCGTCCGAAAATTTGAAAATTCTTGGGCGACCACAAAGCATCATGGGGCGGGAACATGCACAGTTCACATTTTCGGCCGGGATGCGAGGAGAGACACAAGGTAAGTCTATGGACGCGTGCACCCGCATGCAGACACCGTGGGGCAGAAAGTGCCAGCAAGCTCAGAGGAGTCAGCGCTGCATCAGAGACCCGCCGCAGTGCTGGAGTGATAGATGAAAAGGACAGGAAAGAAGATCAGATTAAGAAACATAATTTAAGGTAAGTGCTTTAATTAACATGGGGGGGAAAGATGTTTGACTTCAATGTCACTTTAAGAGTAGTAATTGACCCTGCATATAATGTTGTGTGGTAGTGTGGGATCCACATATTTGTGATCCAAAGATCTATATACCCAATTTATCTCAATAATCATGGATGCTGGGTTGTTTTTGAAGCTCCGGTCTTCCAGGTCCTGCATATGAAGCTGGAGAGAGGGCGTTCCGGGACTGGAACACATGAGCTTGCTCTAGAGTCACAATTCTTGGTTGTAAATGAGCAGAGAATAGCCCCCATGTGTGCCAGGTCACCCATTTATTGTATATGTTGGGCTGTGGTTCCTCTGTTGTTCTGGCTGGGCAGTTGGTGGAGCGGATCCCTGTTGTCTCTGCTGTTAAAAAACCACTGGATCTTCACTTTTAAAGTAAATATGAAAATGTAAAAAAATTAAACAAACCGTATATGTTTTTAAGTAACGTGTGCTTTTTAATATCTAGCAGTGACAATGTGGCTTATGAAACAATAAAAGGTAGAAGCACCTCTGAAACTTATCAAAATAAAACAGTAAAGTGATTTTTGTAAGTGGATGGGATTAAAAGTGGACTTTTCAGTTAAACTTACTTTTGCCTTACTTTAACATTGTTTTTATTTAATTGTTTTACCATATATTAGTAAATTCAGACAAACTTTGAAAACTTCATGGTAGTCTTTATCTTTGTTTGCAGGTTGGTTACGAAAATGCTGGTACAGTCGAGTTCCTCATAGATAAACATGGCAAACATTACTTCATAGAAGTTAATTCTCGGCTACAGGTGGAACACACTGTGACTGAGGAGATTACAGAGTAAGTTAACCAAGCCGGTCTTCAGCAAGGTGCTTCTTTTTTTAGTAGGTTTTTTGTTTTTTTGCTGAATTAATGTTTGTTACCTTTATGTCCATAACATAAAATGCATTCCGATTTTCATGTCATTTACACTATATTTCGATGTACCTTACCTAGGGCTTATTTATAATCTCAGGGCATTAAATTAATTTACAAGCATAGGACAAGAGCAATTAAATAGAGTCCAGTATTTTTACACTTGTAAATCATGCCACTAAAGACTGTGTTTACACTGCATTGATGATTTTAAAATAAGACCTGATGTAATTTTCATGTGTTTTGCTTCCAGAATATTCCCAGTTTATATACGTTTATACAGTTAGTAACTGCCACAACTGGACATCTTCTCCAACGTTGAGAATGTGTCACTTCCAAATTGCTTACTCAGGTCCAATAAATGTGTCTGGAACATACCTCAGTATTTATATCCACACAGGTCCTTAATCCTTTTATCATGGAATGTGTCAAGGCAGTTGTTGATTGTCCACAGACATAATGGGACATGTAAAGGTTTGTAAACCACCCTGGTCTACTTACAGAATGAAATCCCATTATGCCAGGAAGTCAGTGGCAGGTGTTACTTGACTGAAGTTGTGAATTGTCAAATCAGTGAGGTAGAAATATTCAAATTACATTATATGTGGGTGACTGTCAGGATGCATCAGTCAGCACCCATAGTACAGCCTCTGCCCGGATTGCTAGACGAGCACATGCACGTATTCGACGCTACGGTGCTAATAATGTGCATGCACAAAGCCGCAGCACACATGCGCGCACATGTGCACCAAGCACATGCAATAACGTGCACCAGGCAGACTATTTCAAGATGTTTCCTGCATCTGCAACTTGCTGAGAGATATTCAGCTGTAGTCTGCATTCCTGATCCTGTTTTGATACCTGTCTGCCCCAGCTTGATTCCTGACTCTTCCTGCCTGCTGCCTGCCTTGTGACCTCAGCTTATCTTCTGACCTTCCCTCCGTCTTCTGATTTGGTACCATTCTGCTTGCAAGTGTATGACCCGGCCAAAATGTGCACCTCACTATCCAGACACTCACTAAAGTTCAAGAAGCTGTTGGACAAGCAGCAACATATTTTCAACATTACAGAAGAAATGCAGTTAAATGTGACTAACTTCTGCTAGCTATACTATGAGCTGGATAAACTAGTGCTTTCGGGGCCACGCAGGGTCCACTTCATCAGGCTCAGCAATGGTTTTTCCAGTAAGGAGTGCGACAAGGTATCCTTTTGTTTTCCTATAGTCGAGTGCGCGGTCGCAGACAGAGCTGTCCACACTTGCTATGAAGCTTTTTTTCTGTGCTTTTTAGCACAGTACTGTACAGTATTACAGTATTCAATCCAGCATGGCTCCAAAGTAAGTGCAGAGCAAGCATGGTGGTAAATAGAAAGTGCAAGCGGTAATGAAGGTGACAAGAATGTGCAGAGCGGTAATGAAGGTAACCAGAAAGTGCAGAGCAAGCATGGTGGTAAAAAGAAAGTGCAGAGCGGTAATGAAGGTGACCAGAACATGCAGAGCGGTAATGAAGGTGACAAGAACGTGCAGAGCGATAATGAAGGTAACCAGAATGTGCAGAGTGGTAATGAAGATGACAGAATGTGCAGAGTGGTAATGAAGGTGACAGAATGTGCAGAGTGGTAATATAGGTGACAGAATGTGCAGAGCGGTAATGAAGGTGACAAGAACCTGCAGAGTGGTAATGAAGGAAACCAGAATGTGCAGAGCAAGGATGGTGGTTAAAAAAAAGTGCAGCACAATAATGAAGGTAACAAGAAAGTGCAGAGCAAGAATGGAATGAAGAAGGTTTTGAAGAAAATAACCATTGAATTGAAGAAGGAAATTGTAGAAAAGCATGATCGTGGTATTTGTGTGACTGATCTGGCCTCAGAGTACAAGATGGCGAAGTCGACAATCTCGACTATTTTGAAGAATAAAGATGCCATCAAAGGAGCTGATGTGGCAAAAGGAGTAACACTGTTAACCAAGCAGAGGACACAAGTATTAGAAGAGGTGGAAAAACTTTTGTTAGTGTGGTTGAATGAGAAACAGCTGGCAGGTGATAGTGTTAGTGAAACTATGATCTGTGAAAAAGCCAGGAAATTGCACAGTGATTTACTGCAACAAAACCCCTCCACAAGTGCATCTAGTGATGAATTTAAAGCCAATAGAGGGTGGCTTGATAAATTCCACAAGAGAAGTGACATCCACAGTGTAATAAAGGCATGGTGAGGCTTCCAGTTCTGACAAGGCCACTGCAGAAGCCTACAAGACTTTGCGGAATTCATGAAGGATACATCACTCAATAAGTGTTCAACTGCAATAAAACAGGACTCTTTAGAAAAAAGCTGCCGAACAGAACCTATATCACGCAGAAGGAAAAGGCACTGCCAGGGGCTCAAGCCCTCGAAGGACGGATTGACCCTTTTGCGAACACATGCGCTGATCTGAAGATTAGGCCACTACTGGTGTACCATTACCAGACCCCTTGTACATTCAAGGAACAGAATGGGAACAAGGCCAGACTGCCTGTCATGTGGAGGGCCAATGTGGAAGCTTGGGTCACTAGGCAATTGTTCATGGAATGGCTGCATGAGGTGTTCGCACCCACCACTAAAAAAATATCTTTCTGACAGCCAACTGCCTGAATGGTGCTTTCTTCTGATGGACAATGCCCCGGCACACCCTCCAGCCTTGGTGAATGATATGGACACTGAGTGTGACTTCATAAAGGTCAAGTTCCTCCCCCCCTACACGACACCTCTTCTGCAGCCATTGAACCAGCAAGTGATCTGCAACTTCAAGAAGCTGTACACCAAGGCGCTCTTCACCAGGTGTTTTAATGTCACAGAGACGTCCTTGACTCTGAAAGAGTTCTGGAAGAAACATGTCAATGTCCTCCACTGCATCAACCTTATTGACAAAGCCTGGGAAGATGTCACGTACCGGACCTTAAACTCAGCCTGGAGGAAACTGTGGCCAGAATGTGTCACTGAATGTGACTTGGAAGAGTCTGATGTGCAGATAGTGGAGGAGATTGTGTCCATAGACAAGAGTATGGGTCTGGACGTCAATGGTGCAGACATTGAAGAGCTTGTTGAGGATCATAAGGAGGAGCTGACGATGCAAGAACTTGCTGAACTCCAGAGGGAGCAGCAGAAGGCGCTTGTTGAGGAGCATTCCACTGAGGAAGAGGAAGACAGGGAGGAGGTTAGCAGCGATGTGATAAAATCCATTATGGAAAAATGTAATGAGTGCCAGGATTTCTTTGAGAAGCACCACCCCAACATAACTGTAATGAACAGAGTGTTGAATCTGATGAACAATAACGGGTTATGCAGTGCAGGAAAAAACAAGTGACATTAGACAGATTTTTTGCCAAAATGGACCCTGCAGCTAATAAACAAAGAAGAGAGGAAACCCCTGAAGGAGATCTCCCTGATGTCCTTATGGAGGGGGACTCTCCCTCCAAATAACCACTTCCCCACCCACCTTCCTGTCCTCCACGCCAGAAGTCACCCCAAGAAAGGTTAGTTTTCACTCTCTTCATACTGTACTGTACTTTGTTTCATATTTTTGTGGTTAACATTTTTTTTTACATATGATTCAGAACGGATTAACCTTATTTACATTGAACCCTATGGGAAAATGTGATTCTGTTCGCGAACCAAAATTGGTTTGCGACCACGTTCATAGGGGTCAGAATGGATTAACCTTTTTTACATTGAACCTTATGGGGTAATTTGATTTGGTTCGCGACCAGAATCGTGGAACCAATTAAGTTAAGAACCAATTAAGTTCGTGAATCGAGGTACCACTGTAATTATATTTTGTTTCATGGTACAATTTAAACTACAATTTAAACTACATTTTAGGGTAATGGTAATATACCTAACTATAATAGTTCTGATACGGGTTTACTTTTACTAGTTTATTAAACATTTCTTCTCATATCCCAGTGTATATTTGGTCAAAATAAAATAAAATGCAGTACATCTTTACAATGCATGCACATTCTGCATGTTTTATCCCTTTACAAACACTGCAAGTACAGACAAATACATGTTCAGTGGCGTAACCAGAGTTACGGGCGCCCGAGGCAGAACACAATTTTGCGCCCTCCACAACCATTATATCACCACCTCATCCATCCTGTTCCTCTGGTTCTAAGGATAATTCAATACAATACATTCAATACATTAAACAGCAATGCAGAATGGCAACATCTATAGAGGACTACAAATCCCAGAAATACATTATACAGCAATGGAGAATCGCAACCGGCTACAGAGGACTACAAATCCCAGCAAAACATTATACAGCAATGCAGAATGGCACCAGCTAGGGCTACAAATCCCAGCAATACATTATACAGCAATGTAGGGATGCACCGATACTAGTATCGGTATCAGTGCCGATACTGAGTACCAAATGCTTCGATACCTTTCCCAATACTAGAACTTCCGCTCAGAGGGAAATTTCCTCTGACCTGCAGTGCCACAAGGAAAGATGGAGCCAGGAAGCTGGCTCCATGCTGTTTGGCCGGCTCGATGCTGATTGGCTGGGAAGCCGGCTTCCTGGCCAAACAGTGTTGAGCCGGGAAAACAAATCTGATAATATAGTGACACGACCCCCACCCTGCAGGCACCTAATTCCCCTCACATATATCTTTATGATTTTTTAACGTACCAGTCCCTTGGCCAGATCTGCCGTCTCCTGTGTGCACTGCACAGCACTCACGTGATCGGTGCTCAGCCTGCTACTGCACATGCACAGGATTTCTGAACGAGAGTGCTAGGCAGTAGCAGGTTGAGCGTTGATCACGTGGACGCTGTACACAGGAGACGTGGGGAGATCTTGGAGAGCGGTGTCTGCCCACTTGAAGAGCACTGGCCGATGGAGTGGTACGTTAATGAATGCGGTTAAGGATCTATGTGAGGGGAATTAG